ACGCGCTGCCACTTATGGGAAAGTTTAAGTCGCGTCAACTTCTATAAAAGCGCCCTATAGCGGTTTTAGAAGGTGAGGTGGAGGGGGGACGGAAATAGGAAATCGTGACGAGTCCACAAAGATGACACGACTCGACTCACGGAAAAGTCCTGTCCACAGGGTAAGAATTAGCATAAACGCCCTTTTTAGGTGATTTAGACGGGGAGGGTAGAGGTTAGAAAATTTCGTCTCGTCATGACGAGTCTACACGAGTGAACACGACTCAAATTGTGGAATAGTCGAATCTCTAGAGTGGGTCTAACGTTGAACTAACACTATACAGCAAGTTAGGCAAAGCAAATCTACATGGAACATTGAGAGAGCTCGTAACCAAAGATCCAGTTTGACTGTAACACAAATCAGATTAACTCTACTTGCATGTATGTCAGTAGGTTCAGATTACGGAAAGCGTTTTGTGGAATAGACTTCAAGCTGTTCCTTGATAGATCTCTGAAAAGAAAACACAGTATTTTTAGTTAAATGTTTGAATTCAAATGGAATCTTTTGGTCTCTAGGACTGTACTGATTGGGTCGTTTGAAATAGGCGTTTGTGCTTTGTATGTGGTTACGGTTTCAAGTATTTTTGTCATGACGTCATTTTATGTTTTCTAACAGAATATGAATCTTATTTCAATTCTCTAGTTAATGATCATCCAACATGGCGGCCATGACATTAGTTGAAAACGACCTATGGACAAAGAGAACTAGGAGGGTAGATTTTAAAACACAGCAACAAGGCTTGCGTTCGTCAGACCATTTTAATCTCACTGAATGTACTATACATAAAAAGGTTCAGTAAAGTTCAGTAAAGTTAGTTTTTATTCATAGTTAGTCCATGCTCGATCCCCGCCGATATCTCGAGTCTGGTCTGATCTTTCCCGAACAGCAGCTAGTAATTAAATCACGCGTTTCTTGTGAATTGTGCTGAGTCGGAGCTATTACTTTCACTGCAAAAATAAGATCTGCTAGCTTATGTTTCCATTAAGCTAATCAACTTACATGGCCTTAAGTAATGTTAGATTTCTAAAGGCGTCTTCTTCTATCGACTTCAAATGATTTGCCGAGAGATTTCTGAAAGAGAACCATGGCAGCACCAGAAAAGTTTAGAAGACTCATAATGTGAGTGGCCAACAGATGTTCTCTCTTGACCAGTGTACGTTTATCGTAACCAGAGAACTAAACGAAGGAGATGGAGGAAGGACATAGATATATGACTAGACGTATTATACCACCGTGACCAAACAGTATCGAAAAGAAAGAAAGGGATTATCTGTTTTGATTGTTGCATTATTACTTTACTTGACAATATATAATTTAGGGAACAGGCAATATTTGGGAGTGTTGTGGAGCGATATAACAAAAACATTAAGTGGATAAATATTAAAACTTCCCATGCAATTGACTACGAATACAACTGAGGACATTTTAATCATTTCTCGTAATTAGACTCATCTGAGGAGGGTTCTGGATATTAAAGATTGAAGTGTGTGGTAAGTTTCAAGTTTCAAGTTTATTATTGTACACTATTTACAAAAAACAACTTTTAAACATAAAATGGTTTACAACGAGACATAAAAAAAACTTATAAATAGAGGTTAACTAGAAGAAAAAATATTTAGTTGTGTACAGTGACCAAAGTAGCCAATGAGCTTTCGAGTATATTCAAAGGGTTATAAATGTTATTTCGCCTCACTTACAACTGTGCCGTATTGGACGGTAAATCACGTGGCACTTGCTTAATCCCTGTACACGTTACAATGATCCGGGTTTGGCCAAAAGGCTTGCAGGTACATTTCCCCGGATGAGCATCTTCCAAACAGCACAAACCAAACGTCACAAACCAACCCACCAACACGAACTGTGTCAGAATAACAACATGCCTTACAGGCTGGGCTAGAACTGCTTTTCCCATCTCCTGAGAGAAA